GAATCCACACTGAGCAACACAGAGTCAAACACAGGGAGAGAGCCAGTCATTCAACAAATGTCTCTTGCATTTGAACTGTGGGCCTGGCTACCACTGCGAGCACTGGTGTTAGAGTCTCATGCTACTTATATAGCAGGGGAGACAAAGAAAGTTAGATGACGGCTGTTACTGGTGAGCAGAGCTCCAGTGAATGAAGAAACAGTAAAATATGGCGAGGCATAGACTCTCTAAGGAGATGCCTTTGTGCAGTGAGGGGTAAGGCCTAAAGTTCAAGCACTTGTATCTTCATATTTCTGTGCCCACTGGAGGAATAGTTCTGCTTTGTCCTCAGCCTTCAGGAGGAGGGCCGACACACCTAAGAAGTTCAGCGTTCAGGTTCAGCTAAACGGGTGTGAAAAAAATAAAAATAAAATAAATAAAGGGGTCTATATGAGGACCCCACTGGGACCAGAATCAGCAGTGAAGCTCCCTGGTGGAGAAGCTGGGTGAAAAGGCTAGATCTGAGCCTCAGTTTCCTCATCTGTAAGAAGGGTTCATCATATTACTTCCTGACCTAAAGTTTGAATTAAGTACCCAGAGAGGTCGTGCCTAAAAGTGTTTTAAAACAGAGTACTTTTTTAGTTTTTCTTTTTTCGTATGTGTGTGTGTATGTGAAAACTGACACCTCCATAAAAGTTGAAGGAATTAAAGATTTAGAAATATCTATAAACTCTTCATTTAGGTTCAGATTTTAACATTTTTCCCTGTTTGCTTAATTTTTTTAAAAACTGGTTTTTCACCATTTTGCAAAACATGGCCTAAGTTCTCATACCTCCATGCCATAGGGTTTGAAAGGCTCTGTGAACAGAACAGAGAAGAAATATAAATATAATTGCTAATAAATATAATTGTTAATAAAGACAAATATTTATTTTTTCTAATTTCGAGGCATAAGAGTTTTTTCAATGTGAGCATCATTCTGTTTTATTAGCATTTCCCATGTTTATAGCTGAACATACACACACACACATATATATATATATATATAATAGTATTTTTGACTGAACCATTGAGAGTAAGTTTTAGACATTGTCACACTTCACTCCTAGAACCTCAGATGAGCATCTTCCGAGAAGAAAAATATTTGTGTAGGAGCCACAGGACCATTATTGCACCAAGGAAAATGACATGAAATCTATCATGTCATTAGAATCAAATTTACCCAATTGTCAAAAAATATCTTTTAATCTCTCCTTCCTCCCCAAATCAAGATCCAATCGAGGATCAGCCACTGTGATTAGTTACCAAGTCACCTTTAATCTGGAACAATCCTCCATATCTTTTTCCTTTTTTTGCTATTTCTCATAAAATTAAACAGGCCTGGTGTTTTTTTGAATGTCCCACTTTCTGGATCTTTCTGGTTATTTTCTACAGATTCAGATTAAGCATTTTTTTGGTAAGAACGCCACGCAAGTAAAAGTGTGTGTTTCTTATTGCACAGGATTCCAAATTGTCCGTACTTCATTTGATCCCTATATTAGCTTGGTCACTGACAGGTTTTATTTTTAAATTATTGTAACGCAACCACTAGATACTCTTGTAACAGCCAAGTCATGCCTGTCTGCTCTCCCCACTAAGACCTAGTTGTACCCTTGGCATCAGGACACACCAGCTCCAAATTCACAAGGTCAGGAAAATGTGTCTGCTCTTCCGCTGCCTCTAAACTGCAGACCCACACCTGTGACGTGTCACTTAGTCCTCCCAGAGGGGTCCAGAGGAAGGAAAGCGGCCAGACGGAGTAACCCAGAGCAGATCTAGCCTTTGACACTGGGAGATAACTTCCTCTCTCTAAGATTCAGTGTCCCCCCTTGTGAAATAGTTAATAAACAGTTTCTAGCCCATTCTCTGCTTTATTTCTCTGCATCTAACATGTAGTCTGTTTTACTTTCTTATCTTATTAGTTGCCTTTATCTGGTGAATGTCCGCATGCTAAAGGCAGAGAGTCATACCTTGTCCCTTGCTGGGTGCCCAGCACCTGACATATAATAGGTTATCAGTCAGGATTTGTCAGACAAATGAAGTAAAGGGGATAGTTAGCGCCCTGCACATGGGAAGGGTCTCACACATTGTTGGTCCTTATACCATTCAGGCTGGGCACACGTTAGGCACCCTGGGACTGTCATTGAAGTGAACATGTGTTAGGGGTGGGAAAGGACATCTGCTTCACCCAGCCCTTCTGTCCTTACTTCGCAGGAGACCAGCCACTGACCGGGGCCTATTCAGTGACCCTGAATGGACATGGGCCCTCAAGGGTCATCTCCAAACATGACCTGGGCCACTTCATGCTGCGCTGCCTCACCACCGATGAGTATGACGGGCACAATGCCTACCCTTCCCACAAGTATGACTAGGGCTCTGTCCCTATCCAGCAGGATAGCATCCTGGGAAATGAAGAACAGAGGAAGGGAGCAATAAATTTTGAGCCAAGAGCTTCAGATTATTCTAAAAGATCCAGCTCTGGCTTTGTCTAGGTATCTCGGTGTCTCTGTCTGTCCTCTGTGTGATATTTTCCTTCATTCTTTCCTCAGCAACAGTTCATTGAGTCATCGCTCTGCACCCAGCCCTGTGCTAGTGACCTAGTGGTGACCGAGGGTCCAGTGGTGACCAAGACGGCCATGAGCCTTGCCTTCACAGATCTCACAGTCTGGTGGGGAAGACAGCCTGCACCCGACAGTGACAACCCACAGTGGCCAGGGCTCCAATGGAGGAAGTACAGAGGGCTATGGGACCCCAGAGTGGGTGGGTACCTGACTCAGCGCAGGGAGCAAACAAGGCTCTGTTAAAAAGGGGATGTCCCACCTGAACCTGTTTTGGTAAGAATGAGCCAGAAGGTCCTAAGGCATGATGGCATTCCAGGCAGAAGGAACCTCATGAGCAAAGGCCAGGAGGCTGGAGAGCACTTGGCCCCTTCGAACTAAAATCTGTCCCCTACAGTTAATACTTCTCTCAGAGGTGAAGAGTGGTCAACCCAAGAGGCTGTTCCATAGATGCTAATTGTGCAGAGTCAATCCTTATTTTGAGGTTTTATGCAAAGAGTAGAGCAGGGGAGAGATGGAGAGAGGGCACAGTCAGGTTTGTGTTTTGTTAAGCTTCCCTTGGCTACTGTGTGAAGGTGGGTGGGAGGGGTGCAAGAGTGGAGGCTGGGAGCTCAGAGTGGGCAGAGCCTGAGTGGACCATCCATGGGGGAGGGGACCGCGGCATCCAGGAAGAAACCTAAGCCTGTAACCTAGGAACTGGGTTACAGTGTAATGAGGACCCTGGAGGAGGGGTAGGTTTGGAAGCTGGAAGGGGAAGAATTGCCCGTCCTAATCATGTCCCCCTGGAATCTACTGTCCTCTGCTTTTGTTCCCTGGAGTTATCTTTCCCAGGCGTGAGCAAGCCACTCCTCTCTTCCTACCTCCAGCCTCTCCCTGCCTACCCCCCAACACCCACCCCTAACCACCCCCCACAAAGTCCATCCCAATCTTAGACTGCTTCTGCAAACAGGATGACTTGGTTGCATATTCCAAAGTGGTGAGAACTAGTCTGAGGTAGCCTGGAAAAAACTGCCTTCCCCACCCCTTGGTGAAAACTTGTGGGAATGGGGCACTCCTGGTTCAGATTTTCAGGGCACTAGCACTGTTTTATTTCTGCCCGCCAAGCAGTGAGTGGGTGATGGAGATAACCTTGGTACCTGTCCTCAGGGGGCCCACAGTCCAGACAGTAACAGCTCAGGTGAAGATGGGGGAGGCATGGGCGGGGCTGCAATGGGAGAAGCACAGGACACCGTGGGAGCCAACCTACCCTAGAGCATCAGGGAGGGCTTCCAGGAGGAGGAAACCTGTGAGATGAGTTCTGAAGAGAGGCAGCCTGGGAATTGAGGGGGTATTATCAGAATGGGGAAACAAGTTAAAAGATCCAGAAACCCTTTTTTAAAAAAATTAATTTGTTTTATTAAGGTAACATTGATTAGTAACATTATATAAATTTCAGTTATATGACACTAATTCGATATCTGAATACTCTATTGTGTGCCCACCGCCAAATTTTTAGTTTCCATCCCTTACCATATATTTGACTCCTTTTACCCTGTTATTCTCATTTTTGAGTACTTGCTATGTACCTGGCATTGTTGTAGGCACTTGGGATAAGGCAGGGAAGAAAACAGACAAAATCTCTGTGTTCGTGGTGTTGGAGGGCTCTTGAAGCCATTTTAGAACTGAAAGTGAATTGGTGTGACAGGATAGTAGGGAGCAAGGAGGAGTGTGCATCAGGCCAGACCGTGAGGGTCTTTGTGGCAAAAGTAAGGAGTTTGAACTTTGTCACTAGGGTAGTAGGAAGCCATAAGCGAGTCTCCAACAGTGGAGGTGCCATCCTGAAATAGGCGGGATGGGGGAGCGTCAGGCGGATGCGGGAGGGACCGGCCACCAGAGGACATGCTGAGGAGTCCTAAAGATCAGGAAGGGGACTGTAAGGTAAAGTGTTGCGGAGGGGCCGGGGGGCGGGAGGACAGGGGCGCTGAAGGGGCGGGCTGCGGTCGCCCAGGCAACGCACGCCACGCCAGGCTATTGGCTGGTCTTCAGCAGCGTCATCCTCCGCCCTACCCTGCAGCATCCGCCCTCGGAACCCCGGGGGCGCGGCCTACGCCAGTGTTTCCACTCGCCCTGCCTAATAGCGGGCTTGAGAGGGGCGTACCAGCCAGTCTTGCTCCATGATGGGGTCCAGACCTGGTGTAAAGGGATCGCAGAGAGTAATGC